TGTGTGTGTGTGTGTGTGTGTGTGTGTGTGTGTGTGTGTGTGTTTCTGTTTCTGTTTCTGTTTCTGTAGAGGAAGCTGTTGGTTGTAGATTTGTGAGAAAGTTTTTCTCCGTTAAAAAAAGATTCATGCTGGATTTAACGATGTAAATAAATGTGTTCGCAAAACCTGCATTTCTCCACATTTAGGGATTGCAAAGCATTTCCGCTATGGAAGTCAGGAGGATGCACACGAGTTCCTGCGGTACACAGTGGACGCTATGCAAAAGTCCTGCTTACCTGGAACCAAGTGAGTGTAATCATGGTATTTTGGMMTTTTTTTTTCTTACAGAAATGTTAAATCATGACCATTCTTTGTCTATAATGTCTTTCATGGTTAAACACAAGAAGACTTATTTATTTATTTATTTATTTATTTATTTATTTATTTATTTATTTATTTATTTGTCTTTTGCATTTGATCTATGATTTCTTTTTCTTTTAAAATGTTACTTTTGCCGACTACATTTTGAAAACTTTCAGCTGTTATCTAGCTGTTCAGTCATGTTTAATTGTTATGAGACATAATTATAATTAGGTCCACTGCAGATGTGTAGTATTGTTAATGTAGAAGCACTATATATTCATAATATTTTGTTGAACTATGTTATTTAACTATAGAAACACTGTGTACGCATGAAATTCTATGAGATAATATTTTTATTAAAACACAACACTAGTGACTTTACAGACATTCTGGTTTTCTTTGAATGACGTGAATTTTTATGTAAGATAATTTTATCTCATCAACTGAGCTTGTTCCCGTTCAAGCTGAGATTTTTTTTTTTTTTGGTAACTTGTCAGTTTCTTTAAGGTCACTTTAGTTTAAATGGAATTTTGTTATGTTTACATCAGTGTTCTTACATTCTTACTTATATCACCACCCTGATTTGTACATTTTATCCTCTTGTTTTTCCAACAGGTTAGACAGGCAAACGCAGGCAACCACCTTCATTCATCAAGTGTTTGGTGGATACCTTAGATCCAGAGGTAAGTTATTTACATTGATCTGTTCTCTTGAATTGTTGTGAAATCACGTTTTATTGTTTCATACGGATGATATACTGCCTGAGTGAAGTTGCCCCCCCCCCCACACACACATATATTTAAATCTAACAAAATTGGTGGCAAACGTTTGTGCAGCAAAAAGTTTTGTTTGTGCTGCTATCATTTGGAAGATATTAATAAAAGTTCCAGAGGTCATCAGAGGTCAACCAGCCCTCCCACTTTCACAGAATCAAACTATTTTGGTTTCAGTCAGTTGTGCTACGTTTGTGCTGCTTTTATTAATATCTTCAAAATTCTAACGGCACTTACAGTACGAAAACTTTTGCTGCACAACAAATGTTTYATATCAGTTTTATTAGATTAGAAAWGGGGGGTAACTTCCCTCAGCTTAATAAATTATTAACTTAACTTCTCCCGCAACATATTTTTCAGTGAAATGTTTAAACTGCAAATCAGTCTCTGATACGTTTGATCCTTTTCTGGATATCACTCTGGAAATTAAGGTAATCATCCCTCATTTTTTTTATAATTTCTGACATGTTCTGTATTTCTATAAATGTATAAATATATAAAACTTTATCGAACCTTTCAAAAATGATACAAAACCTCTATTTTTTTAAAATTATTTTTAAAATTATTTTTTATTATTATTTCCTGACTATGCAGGCTGCTCCTAGTGTGTCCAAATCTCTGGAGCAGTTTGTGAAGCCAGAACAGCTGGATGGTGAAAATGCCTACAAGTGCACCAAGTAATCCACAAAAACAACAAACATGTGGCAGGTTTTTTTTTTAAATTATTTTTTGTATCACTCAGCCTACTAATTATTGACATTTTCCTCAGGTGCAAAAAGATGGTCACTGCCTCAAAGAGATTCACAATCCACCGCAGCCCCAACGTGCTCACCCTCTCACTCAAACGCTTTGCAAACTTCACAGGAGGAAAAATCACCAAGGTACTTCCACACAAATATATTAATAGACATGTAAAAACTCCTTTTACCCATATATGTATTTGACTTGTGTTGTGAATCATTTTGTGTTCATCAGGATGTAAAATATTCAGAGTATCTGGACCTGCGGCCCTTCATGTCTCAGTGTCAAGGGGAAGCCCAGGTRTACGGGCTGTATGCTGTGCTGGTTCACTCTGGATTCAGCTGCCATGCTGGACACTACTTCTGTTACATTAAGGTGCTGGCACTAACCATGTAGACCCCCAGACACACATTTGTCTCGACACTTCATAAAAACAGCTTAATAGATCAAATGAAACTTCTTACAGACAGAATACTTTTAGTAGACGTCAGCATGCAGAGCAACAGATGCTAACATGTTGGCATTGAGCAGCGACATTTTGCCCAAATATATTATCGTATAAAACATGAAGGATATTTTATTTTGAATATAAAAGCCAACAATTTATTAGAATATAAAAAGTTCTGTGATTTATTGATTTTATAATAATTATAAATATTTGAATTGTGCAACTTAGTAGACATGTAAATATATTTTTAAAAAGAATTCTTTATGCTGCTGCACTTTTAGTAACCTCATGAGAAACGGATCTCTAAAGTGTCGAACCCTTTTGTGTCTCACAGGCTAGCAACGGTCAGTGGTATCAGATGAACGACTCCTCTGTGTCAGTGAGCGACATCCGGTCCGTTCTCAACCAACAGGCTTATGTTCTTTTCTACATCAAGTGAGTCAGCCATAATTTCACTGAATGCATCCCATTGAACAAAAATGGTCCTTTTTCTATAAAGGTTGTGTGAAACTTAAGTCTTGTTTTTAAAATTGAAAATAGTACCAAAACGTTTTAAAAGTTAAAGTTGTGGAGTTTGTTACAAGTACAGTGCACTAAATGTGGTTATAATGCTTGAAAAGCAGAAGGGTTAGAGTGGACCACAAAAGGAGAAGTCTCTGTAGTCACTAAGTAGGAGTTGTTTTGTGGGAGGATTATTTACAAGTTCACAGTAATTTTACTGTCACCATTACTTCCTCTATTAAATTGCCCCACAAGACAAGTACATTCAACCTATCATGGTTTTGCCAAACTCCGCCCACACCCAAACTCCACCCTTTATAAAATCTCCACCAATTAAATTTAAAACAAACTCCGCCCACATAAGGAACTCCACCAACCACAGTTTGGACAAACTCCCTCCACACAACAAGGAACCCCCTTATTTACTGCAGAGACCCCTACTTGTATTAAATACTAACTGGCTTCTGAACCAATCAGAATCACTGAGGTTGCTTTCATTAGTTGTAAGCTGTTGCAACAAGTTGTTTATTTTATCTTAATGATTTGGACACTAAATTAAATAAAATGTAGTATATATTCAGTGTTTTTCTTTTCAAACAAAGTCATTTCACAGAATGGCTTTTGGCAACAGAAAGATTTTTGTCGTCCATCTGTGTGATGTCAGCAGATCCTCTGATGGGAAGAAAACTGGGAGCTACAGCAACTTCAGCCATAACAACCCCGGCATGTCTGGCCAGTCGTCTCCACGGCCTGTGGTGACGCCACGCATCCACACCACCTCCAACCACAACAGTATTGGCTTCATAGGTCCACAGTTACCACCACATATGACCAAGGTAATGCTAACGAGGTTCAGTTTTTATGAACTTACAACACGTTAGCAGTCTTCTTTCTGACAGTTAGCACATGTGCTTGTGTTTTGTTTCGTCAGAGTGCTCCTCACGTTAATGGGAATGGATCCCTGAAGGACTACCCCAGCAGCTCCAAGGCCAGCACCAGCAGCAGCGCAGTTGGAAAACCTTCTTCCTCCATCTCCCACTCGATCAGCCGGCCCACGATGATCCCAGACCAAGACAAACGGCAGAAGCTGTCGTTTTTCATCGGACAAGGCAAACCGAATCGAGTGGCCCCTTCGTCCTCCTACAGCCAGCCGTCCTCTGCGAGCAGCTCCTCCTCATCCTCCTCCTCCTCCTCCTCCTCCTCCTCACAGTCTACCTCAGACGCTTGCTTCGTTCCACATCAGCTGAACCACGTTAACGGCACGTCCTGCAGTAACGGGGACCACCCCGCTGGGAACGGGGCATCCTTCCTGGTGCCGTACAGCCAGGAGTCTTCTGAAGAATCGGATCAGGAAAACGGCGGCGCTGTAGACAACGTCCGCTTGTCCAAGTCTCAAACTAAAGAAACCAACGTTCCAGCAGATGTCTGTCCTCGCTCTCCTAAAAACACAGACGGTGAATCAGAAGTGCACAAAAACGGTAATGAGTTAAACGGACCAAGCTGTGGAGACTCTAAATCCACCCAGAATGGACATGTTTATGGACACCATCAAATGAATGGACACAACACTCCTGATAAGGTAGATTATACATGTTTTCTTTTGTGTTCTGTTATTGCATTTAATAACAAAATTAATGAAGGTGTGTTTGTGTGCTCYTCAGGTCTCTGTCAGTAATCACAGCAGTTCATCCTCTGTGGGTGCTGTGGCTAATGGACTCAGCAGTCATTGTCAACCAAAGTAAGGCTGTTCTCTTACTGTTTTATTAAGCTGGAAAATCACTTTTCTTTTGTTTTAAATTTTAAAGTGCCTGTGACATCAAAATTTTGTAATAATACAAATGCATTTTTGTAAAGATAACACTGAGAACATATTACAATATAATTTCCATGTTGCTGAGATGAACAGTTGTTGAGCTATTTGCATGTGAAGTAACAGGAAGTGATGTCAAAGGGGAATATCTGCATGAAAACAGAGCTAAGCTAAAATGCTCAACAGCCCAGACTGTGGAGAGGAATCTGATGTTTTAGATTAATTTGAGTCACTATCAGACAGAAACAAACAAACAAAAAAAAGTTCAAATCATAATGTTTCAATAAACAAAGACCAGTGAGTTATTTGTCTTAAAGGAGTTCCCCTTTGATGTCACTTCCTGTTTCCCTTTTGCTGAGCCAAGTTCAAAAGAAAATAGGCCAGTTATGTGTCCAAATGGTTAAAAAAAACAGTGTGAAATGCCAAGTTTCTGAAAAAGAACGAAGTTTTCTTTGACTTTTTGTATCTGAAGGATAAGCATGTCACAGGCACTTTAAATAACCAGTGTCTCAACTCATGTGTTCACACAAACACTGAAGCTTTTCACATCTTCTTGTATTAGAACATGTGAAACCAGTTTAAAGGAACAGGGTACTTCAGTCCAGGGAATTAAATTATGGAATAATATGGAAGATGACATTAAAAATACCAGATCAATATGCATGTTTAAGAGAATGATAAAGGTTAATTAGCTGGAGAAATATGCACATGTATGAATTGTTGTTCAAGGATTTAAACTTTTATTATTTTTTTCTTTTTCTATTTTTCTGTTCTTTTTTGTAAACTGTAGATAATTTTTGATTTTTTTTTTTTTAGAAAAGGGGGCAGATATAATAAGAATTTTACTTCTGCTGCTGCCTTTCATTTAAATTGTGATTTGTATTTTTTTTGTTAGTTGTAGAATTTATGTTGTTTTTAAAGAAATGAATAAACTAAACTAAACTATAAACTAAACTCTTGTATTTTTGCTTCCAGCAAAGAGACACCAGAGTCTGCCTCATCCCAATCCAGTTCTTCTCAGAACTGTCCTCCTGCTGCTAATGAAAGTGGACACTTCCCTGCCGCAGACACAAGGGCTAAAACGCTGTCTGACCCTCTGCCTCCCCACACACCATCCTCTGCTGTTAGTGCTCCACCCTCAGCCATGACTACAGAGACCCACTCCGCTGCACCTAAACAGTCTGCTCCCTCTGAGCATCCTGGGAACCTCACGGCCTTATCCTCGGAGCCGGACAGCGGTCAAGATGCCAGTGCTGGTCCTCAGAAGGTAAATGAAGATGAAGCTAAGGATTCCTCACAGACCAACGGTCCATCAGCAGGAACTGAAGGACACCTGGAACACAAGGCTCAGTTCCAGTCCAAACCCAGGCCGCCCTGTCCACACAGGGAGCGAGACAGACTGCACTCGGACTACAGCCGACCCAGAGACAGGCACTACAGGGACAGGAGTCCACTTCGAGAAAGTCACAGCGACCGTCATCGGTACCGACGAGACTACAGAGATCACTATCGCTCACGAGACCGTTTCCCTCCTCCTGAACGTAAACACAGAGACTGGGAGTTCGAACATCACCGGCAGCGAGCCGGCCCGCACTACTGGGATCACGTCCGCGACAGATCCTATTACAACCACCAACGGTTTGAAGGGGGCCACGAGCGGAGGGGATACCCCTACCGCGAGGAGTCCCACAGTCGATGGAAGTGGCACCAGGACAGTCGAGACTCACGACCGGCGAAGGAGCGAAGGAACGCCTGGGACAGAGACTATTACCGCTCCAAGGAGAGGAGCTCTTCCCCCGCTGCACATTCAGAAACAAACAAGTTCTTACCTCCTCGAGCGCGCCCCTCAGATACCGACTCGTCTCTTAGGAAGTCGGACCAGAGTCCTGATCACATGAAAAAAGACCGAGCGGACAGTTCTGAGACGTACCGCTCTAAAAAACACAAAAAAAGCAAGAAAAAGAAGAAGTCTAAAGATAAAGACAGGCACCATGTGAGCAGGTAAGAAGTGGTGGAAACCCCCGTTTCACTCGGATCTTAAAGACAAACGTTCAGAAAATGTCTCGAGTTTTACAGAGTGATAGACTTTCAGGTTTATTTAATCAAACACTAAACGTGTCGGAGTAGGTTGTTTTTGATTCAAGAGAAAATACTTTCAAATAATCTCTGAATTCATTCTTTTGGAGAATGGGGGTGAGGGTTTGTAGTGAGAGAGGGTCTTCTCTTTTTGCAGACTCATCGTTAATTTGTGACACACAAGGACTCAAGTGAGCGTGCTGACAGCCACTGTTTAAAATCAGCGCAACATGTTTTATTTACTTACAATGATTTGAAATCCATGGCAGCAATTTAATTTGAAGGTGTAAGTTTGAAATCTTAACTTCATTACAAATAATGTTCTATTGTTTAAGCAAAACCTGCAGTCTGTTTTAAAAGAGATGGTGATTTTATGACCAAAACAAGGAATAAACATCAGAAAAATGTAACCACACAGCTGACTGACCTCTCACTATCAGGTGCTGCTGTGTTTTACACTCAGAGGAATTCAAACCATAGAAAATGTTACCTTGCAACCCAAAATCATCTCTTCCCTTCATGTGATGCTCAGGTTAGACACGGGCTTCTTTCCGATCACGCTGCTTTGATCAGGAGGAGCTACTARATTCAGTCCAGTAGCAGCTTGCTGCGTGTCCTGACTGATTAACTAGRTTAGTTAGCTTAGCCATTGTTACTTTAACAGCAAAGCAAAAAGATAAGATAAAATTCTGTGCAGTTAAGCTAGTTTACTTTAAAGCTGCACAATAAAACCAGCCTGCTGCGCTGTGGAGGTTTTTCAGTTATGTAATTACCACAAAAATAAGGAAGTTTGTGTTTGGTAGAACAGAGATTCTTAACCTGTGGGCCGTGAGCGCCACCTTGAGGCCCTCAAAACAACAACAGTTTTTAACTTTGGGCCAAAGAGGGCCGTGGGACATGTGAGGGACCGCATTGATTTTGAATAAGGTGCAATACACTTTCTCACCACTAGTAGCGGTAGTGCACCACTCAGATGTTTAACAACTTTTTATATGTAGAAGAAGAAACTTAGAAACCTGCTGAGAATGGAAACTTATTTTAAATGAAAAGTAGAAGCAAAAATGAAAGTAACTCGTCAAAAAACACCAAAGTTTGTCACTAATATGAAGTGCAGCTTCTGTTTTTACCACGCAATATTTTAAAAGTTCAAAACATTATCAAATACAGTTGCAGATACAACTATATTTTAATTTGCACTTTAAATTAATTTTTGTAGTTTATTTTTAAACATTTTGAATGTATTTTAAAGAAATTTAAACTTGTCAAAAGCTGTTGTTACTGTTATTGTTTGTCACTAATATGAAGAGCAGCTTCTGGTTGCAAAAGTTTAAAAAAGCTATATTTTCTTTCGTACTTTATCAATTTTTTTACAGGTTTTTGTATTTGAAACATTTACATTAAACGTTTTTAATTTATTTATGCCCACAATTTTATTGTTTGAATTGTCTGTTTTTGTTATTGTTTACGTTAAAAAAATATATAAATATATTGTGTTGATAAGCCTGAGTGGTCTGTTGACTGACCTTTGTATTTGTTCAAATAATTGTTATGGGCAGGTTACAATATAAAAACATTTGTCATAATCATGTCTTGTGATTATTTGACAGTTTTACTTATAAACTGTAAGTGTATTTAATTTAGTTTTATGTTATAATAGTTTAGTTATGATGTAAATACAGTAAAAATTAAACCAAGATTTAGAATAATTATCATTTTGATCCATACATTGGTAATGTCTGACCGGGCCTCGTGTCACTTAATGTTCAARAAACTGGGCCCCGAGGTCCAAAAGGTTAAGAAGCCCTGTGGTAGAATATTCTTCTTGGTAATAAATCAGATATCATTAGAAAGGCTGTTTGTTTGCCTTTTAAATATTGCCACATTTGTAASGAACATGCATTTGTGTGGTGAGCAGTAGAGCTGCTGGGCTACACACGTGAAAAGTTTGCATTTGCAACCCTTTTTCTGACGTTATTTGCAGCTTTTTGTGAGCTGACAGCATTTCCCCCGTATGTTTCCTGCCTTGTAGCTCAGACGTGGACTCGGACCGAGAAACCCGGAGGAAGAAGAAAAAGAAGAGGAGGCACAGGGACAGCGACTCGGAGCAGCGGAGTCCGGGCCCAGCTCGGRTCAACGACGACAACAACGGAAGCAGCGAAGAAAGGGAGAAGAAACGCCATCACGCCGACACAAAGGACTCTAAACACGACGGCGACCTGTTTCCAGAGAAACGTCTCCACACGGACGGCAGCAGGGATCATCTACTCCCCCGGCATCACAACCSCACTGCAAACGATTCAAGTCACGCCCACCTCAATGGATACACAGGTTCAGAGTCGTTTAATATCACAGGTTATTTGAAAGCTGAGCTGAAACTGACGCTAAAGTGTTGATTCTGTTCTGTAGGTAATGGTTCCAGCCAAACCAGTAACTCCTCCAGTGGCTCTAAACACTCACTCTGTAAGTCCTGTTGTCATGGATTGGTTTTTACTGTTCTGATCATCCRGCTGAGAGGTTGTAAAGAAAATATTTGTTTATGTTGCAGGAACACGGACACCGTTAGACAACAGCAGAGGAATATCAAGAACTTTCTGAAGTGGTGCTTCTTCACTGGGATTGAACATTTTTACCAGAACAAGTGTTTTAAATGTGCAAAAACTTTCTTTTTCCTTTCTTTTGGGGGGGTTTTAAACCAGTGTTTATTTCTTACCTTAAAACTCATATGATTAAAAAAAAGACAAAAAAAAAAAAAACTGTCACCAGTTGAACATTTATTATTAAAATAACTAATATATACTTGTTTGAATACAAACCAAGCTCGGAGCTCAAACATCTCAGTTGCTGCTCAGTGGAACTCAGGACTCGTGAACTTTCTAACATCCATCGGTTATCTTTCTGCTTCAACGGAGAATTGAACAAAAAGAAGAAAAAAAAAAGGGAGAACGTTTTGCCTGGAAGAAGACCTGCAATACACGGTGTCAAGTGAAAGTCGAAGATGTCACCATATCTGCACAGCTGCAGCGTTTTAAAAAAATGTCTGTTCTTGTTGTTGAACCCACCGTGTGATCACACTAACGGGAGATATTTATGAATGAGACGGAACTGATACCTCCATGTTAACCCTGGACAGACTTGAGAACATTTCTCAGATTTTTCTTTTTTTTTTAATATATATCTATATATATGTTTTATTAAGCGTCTGTTTACTTTTTAAACTGTTTCAGAAAAGCTCTCTTCCTCCTCTGGATTACTTTTTTTTTCTCCTGTTCTCTTATTTTTATTTTGAAGTCATGGCCGTGGACCATTTATGTTAGATTTTATTTTATTAAATAATACGGTTTTGTGTCTTCTAGTATCATCAATATACTGTGAATTTAATTTGAACTGTACTATCAGTTATTTTTCTAAAAAAAAAATCACAGAAAAAAAAAACAATCCTGTATCAGGATTCTTATGTTTTTGTTGGTTTGGTTTGTTTTTAGAAGCACTTGTGTTGATTTTGACTATGTACTCTGGACATTAGTCGATTAATGGTATGATTATTAGCTTTGGGGGGAGTTTTCTTTCAATTCTTTCCAATTTTTGTAAGACGTTAAGGAAACTGCTGTCAATTTTTTTGTTTAGCATGTCTGAATTTACACATTGTATGAGGTAGAAGCCTTAAAATACATTTGTTTATGTCAAAAATTGTAATTTTTGTCCTTGGACTTTTGTTTATAAGCTGTCTGGAGATGAATGAAACACTGGTTGAATGTTAGGGATGTTTTTTTTTTTTTTGCCTTTTGTCTTTTAGAAACATAGCTGATTGTATTCAAGCTTTTTGTTGAACAAAGGTTAGGTTTGCATGTACAGGGTGAGTCAAAAGTGTCAGGACACCCTTTTATTTCAGAAACAAAAGGGTAAATGAAATTTCTGAATAGCGCAGCGAGTTCTGGGTGAGGGGGACATCTTTTAGGCTATGTCCGACCGGAACCAACGAGGTGTATTGACTAGAGGCACTAGTACAGGACTTTTCTTGGTCACAGAGAGCGGCCATATTGTTCGGGGTGAGGTCAACTCAACAGACGGTTCTGTTGGCTGGAAAGCTGAACGTGGTAACCACGTGTTAAATTTAGATCATCAGTGAAGCTCCGTTTAATATCGATAATCATTATTTGGTATTTGATAGAAATGTTTGTCACTACATTTTATCAACACACCTCTGCAATGAGTGTTTGTAAAAGTTAGAACCATTGGGCCTCATGCAAGAACCGTTCGTACGCACAGATTTGTTGTTGATGTTTTCGTATTCTAAGATTTTTTTCAGATACTAACAAAATTCACGAGTGGTCCAGACCTGTCGTATATTTTACGTACAGTCAGTCTGCTGTTATCCAGACTGATTTTCTTCACTAATAACTTTATATTTCATTAGTTTGAAGATATTTTGAGTTGAAAATAAATTACACTCCATAATTATGTTGATAATAGGCAATTCTGCTTGAATTTGAAGTTTACATTGACAGCCCGCCCCTTCCAATATGGCGTTGCGCTCGTACCACAAAGGTCAATCTTTTGAAGCACACGTGACGAGTCTAGCGCCTCATTTTGTCTGCCATCTTGAAAGCCGCCATCTTGGATCAAAGTCCATTTTCCCACTGGGAAGGAGGTTGTGTAACGTAACAAATAAGGCCAGAATCCTCTCAGAAATGGAATCRGTGCAATCAGATATGCAATATCTCTTGTGTTTCAAATGTTAACGCAGAAAGTTGCAACAACTGGGAACACTTGCCTGTGATGCACGTAGCTAATGTGCTGCAGCAGTCCATTTCTGAGACTATCCTGACCTCTGATATGCTGCATGAGCTCCTTCCCAATGGAAAACTTGGGACTTTGATCCAGTATGGAGACTTTAAAAATGGCGGCCCTGTTCTGGACATAGCCTAAAAGATAGGCCCCCTCACCCATTACTTGTTGMGGTTTTCAGATCTTTAATTTTCCCGCTGGTTTCTGAAATCAAAGGGTGTTCTGAGACTTTTGACTCACCCTGTATTTATCCACTGGTTGACCCAACCAGGCACAGTTTTAGCTGCTTGGGTCAACCGATGACTCCGATCACACAGGTATTAACAGTTTTGTCATAAATGAAAGCTCATTTTTACAGAGTTCACACAGAGCAGAAGCTGGTATTTGTTACTAACATGTATGTTTTATTCAGGTTGTAGTATCCAGAAGCTGTTCCTTCATCAATCAGACATGATGGTTTTGGCTGTGGGTTGGTCAAATTGCTCAAAATTCCCGTTTGTTTGACCTTTTGAGTTTTATTTTCCGTGAGGAGGTTTCATAGCTTCAACCGGAGTCGTATAAACTTATTTCCACTAAGACAATTTACTGTTGGCTTAAAAAAATGAAAAGCTACACTCATGATTGACACTKCATAAAACACAATATGAAAATGTTCGTTACTCTACATGTAAATGCAATCGGGAGGGCTGCCTTAATAACAAAACAATAAGAAAATAAATACAAAGAAATGAACTACTTTACAAAGTTGGATGTACAAAATGCCTTCAAGTGACAAACTTAACATTTGATGGAATTACAATTTGATTCTCGTCAAACCCATTTCCATGTCTTTGCATTCAAAAATGAAATACGAGGACTGACTGAATTGAAACTCAAGCCTAAATAATTTTACAGAATAAATCAATGTTTGCATATCCAGCTCGTCAGGTGAGGGCTACCAGTCAGGCCAGCTGATTGGTCASCTTGAGGCTTTCAGAGTGTTGAAGGAGTAAGAAAATCTTGCTGGCACATTTATCTGAATAACAGGACTTCATTGATTTATTTATTTTATGTAAAGTTGATGTAAGTCCCTGTTTGTCCAGCAGGGGGCGATCTCTTACAGAAAAGAGCTCTGATTTACAAACACTCCTTTTTATCCTCCAGGTTGGTCAAGATTACGTTTAGTTTCTTCTTTTCTGTGAATATTCAGTCTGCGTCCAAGTTGAAAAAAAAAACAAACTCCACGCTCTCATTAGACAAGTGTTGAGGAGCGATAAGTCTTTAGGCGGAAACCCAGGCGTTTTCACTTCTTCAGCTCTGAAAAACGCCAAACGTGGGATTCTCATGCCTCCCGTTCCGTTCCACACACACAGACACAAACACAGACACAGACTCCCACAGTCACAGAGGAACTGCTGACAAACGTAGCAGGAAGTGTGCAGTCATCATTTCTTATTGGCTATCCTCCTCTTCCTGGTGGCCAGCATGTCATAGAAAGGATCCCTGCTGATGCTCGCCCTGTGAAAGGAGCACAGGAAGGAACGGATTAATGATGACTACGCC